AAGAGTTACCATTTGTGCAAGCAAGAATGCTGATTAGGAGCAAAATCATATCTGGAAACCATCTCTGAGGCAGCATCTAATCCAAGAGAAGAGATTGCAGACTTGAAAAATCCGAAACCTGATCTTGTCCTTAACTCTCCCTCCCTGATCTTGAACTGCAAGTTCTGTATATATCATTACACGACCAACAATCATACCATATGACACACCAAGCAAAGGTCACAGATCATTCATCTACCTTTCTGGTTCCTAAGAGAGTACAAAGTTATAACCTTTCGACTAATTACAGATTCACCACCCGGAAATTCTGTTCTTATAAACAAAACTCGAGATCACTTGGCAACACCAATGGCTTGGAGTTTGCTCAGTGAATGGCAACTTCATTTTCACACTGAAACTAAGAGATCGACTTCCATTTTCATACTGGAGCGAATCAGAGTTATGGAGGGTGAGTGTCAGTATGCGTGAGCATGGAACTTGTCTACTCGGACATAAACTCAAAATTCCGACAAAAGGAAGCGAACAGCAAATCATCTCTTAAAGCGAAACTCGTATCCCTGTAGATATGTCTGGAAATGTCTCAGGATATGAATCAGGGCTCTCCAAATCAAAGTGTGCCAACAATAATATTAATAAACCCTCCAAGCATACGAAACGCCACACAGATTTTTATTTTATCCTTGGATTCTTCTATCTATACACGCTCTCAAGTAAAACCAGACAAGAATGTGGAAGAAATTCTAGTGGCCAGACAGCCTTAAACCCCAAAGTTATCAAACACCCAGATGCAGAAATCAAGAAAAAGACTAAAGCTTTCACCTGATTCGAACTTGCCCTCTTCCGGAAATCAAGAAGAGATCTCAACACAGAAACCCTCGAGGTTCTTCGAAGACGAGAAATAAAAAAACAAGAGACTGTCGCAGTGTAAGAACCCAAGAAAAATATAGAAACCCAACAAGAAAAGGGACCGTGGGGAATCTTGTGTGGAGGATGGGAGAGAAACAAGAACTGCTCTTCAGTTCACTTCAGTCCACTTCAGGCTACTGTAAGGGAATCCAGAAGGGTTCATTTGCGAGGCTTGAAAGAGCTAAATAATAGAGAGAGCAAGCGCTTGAGGTCTTTTATTTATTAATTAATTAATAATGACCAGCTCTTACATTCTCGACAACTATCCCCCCACTCTCTCTTACACGTAAATTATACAATTAAAACTCCAAAAATAATAAACAAACAACCATTTCTTTTATAAAAAAAAAAGAACCGAAAGAACAGCATTCTAAAAGGATTATTCTTAAAAATACGTTTTTTTTGTTAAAAAGAATTCGTTCAAAAGATCTACGATTCAGTATCCGAATGTTTATCTAACATAAGTTAAATAATGGATAGGAATAATGATTTTAGAAAATATAAGCATTTCTAATCATTGTTTTAAATTTGGAATCTTTTTATCCATAAAATGTAGAAAAATATTTTACACAAAAATATAGAAAAAGAATATAATATTACCATTTATTTAAATTTATTTTTTATATTCTAGATACATAATTTTGAATCTATAATAACAATCATCTTTAATAATATTTCTCTCAAATATCTATATTAAAAAAACCACAAATGTACACATGTTTTTGCTTTACTTTGAATATATTTTTGTTATAAGCACATTAAATCAAGCAAAGTGCCAAGATTCTGCAGACTTTCGCCTTCTTTTGAAGACTTTTGTTCAATACTCTTTGAAATATATTTTTATTATTTGAAAATAATAATAACAATAATAATAAAGCATATCCTCCACCATTTTAAAAATTCATAAATCAGTTGGTCAAATTTACTAAGAACTAAACCTTCTTGTAGGGGAAAGTGTGTATTTATTGTGTGTGTTGGCTGTTTTCACATGCATGAATTCCAGATGTTTGTCTTACTTTCTTGGATTCTTGTCTATTCACAGGCGGAAAAAAAAAAGAATTACGAAGAAAAGTTATCTATAAATGCTATATTTTAGAGAGAGAAAAAAAATAGATTTATCTGTTACACAAATAAAGTTTATACTTTATATAAGGAACAATGTTTTGTAAATACATATAGAAATGCTTATCCCTTAGAGAGAGAAAAAAAATATGAACGTTCTAAAACGTAATTTTCTTTGTTCTTCATTTTTTTCCCAAGAGAAAAAAAAATTATTCTATTTTATTCAACCATATTTAATGAAAGAATAAATAATATAAACTGTTGAATGATTTAAAGGAAAACAATTAAAACGATACCAAATATCACAATATCCCATAATTCAAACTTCATCTACATAGTCTATAAAAAATATATTTTTTTCATATATTCAGGATACCGAGAAGTTAATGTCATTTTTTTATGTGTTCTTTATGGTTATTTTTCCGAAGAAAAAAAAAGGAAATCAAAATTATCGCCGACGTCGTGCATATGATCCAAAATATAATATGATCGTATGATCAGAGAAGGATATGTGTTGAAGAAGTACGTATTTTTTATATAATGTCTATTAAAAGATGCGCTTCCCGTTTGGAAAATTTCCACATAAAAGCCTTTTTGTCGGAGTTTTCATCTGCAAATTTGGGTTTTCTTACATGGGTTCGAATTCGCTATTTCTGCTTTAACACGTATCCTTTTTCACATGTGACCATGTGATCCAAAATATAATATGATTGTATGATCAGAGAAGGATATGTTTTGAAGGAGTACGTATTTTTTATATAATGCCCATTAAAAGACGCGCTTCCCGTTTGAAAAATTTCCACATAAAAGACTTTTTGTCGGAGTTTTCATCTGCAAATTTGGGTTTTCTTACATGGGTTCGAATTGAAAACATGCCAAATAATGAAATTCCGGCAATGTCAGGAGGAAAAATGGGTAATTTTTCATTTCCCGTGTTCTTTTCTTTTTCTCGTTCATCCGTTCGTACAGGTACACTCACGGATGACCGGAAGACCGAGGAAGCTCGCACGCTACCGAGGAACTCCGCACGCGTCCGAGAAATCCTGTCGCACAGCTCGAGAAACTTCGGACCTGCTCAGCAAACCTCGGCCAGCTCGACACTTTGCTTCGCACGCGTCCGAGGAAGTCCGCACCCGTCCAGCATTCTGCGGCCAGCCCAGCATCTTCTTGCGGACGCACCCGAGAAGCTCTAGCACGGGACAACTCCGGCCCAGGACCAAGGACGGACATGGACCACCCATCCCAGACCTCTTGACACCCTCCAGCTCGCGTCCAAGCCACGTCCAAGCCCAGGCCACGTTCGGACCACCCCATGACCAAGATTGGCCCAAAACCTCGTCCATGGTCCATGACAAGTTCATGGACGTGTCCGAGGCTTTGTCCATGGCCAATTCTTGGCCCATGGCCCATTAGAATACTTAGGCGTGTTTCCTTTTCACTTTAGGCATGTTCTAGGTCTTTCTTTTCTTGTTTTAGGCAAGTAGGGTCCGAATGGGAAATAAGGGAAGTAGAATTGTGAAGTTTCTCTCCTTTGTGGCCGGCGCCTTTAATAGGTCTTACCACACATCCACAAAAAAGGAAACTTCACAATTCTACTTCCCTTATTTCCCATTCGGACCCTACTTGCCTAAAACAAGAAAAGAAAGACCTAGAACATGCCTAAAGTGGCCTAAAACAAGAAAAGAAAACTCTAGAACATGCCTAAACCATAAAGGAAACACGCCTAAGTAATCTAATGGGCCATGGGCCAAGAATTGGCCATGGACAAAGCCTCGGACACGTCCATGAACTTGTCATGGACCATGGACGAGGTTTTGGGCCAATCTTGGTCATGGGGTGGTCCGAACGTGGCCTGGGCTTGGACGTGGCTTGGACGCGAGCTGGAGGGTGTCAAGAGGTCTGGGATGGGGGGTCCATGTCCGTCCTTGGTCCTGGGCCGGAGTTGTCCCGTGCTAGAGCTTCTCGGGTGCGTCCGCAAGAAGATGCTGGGCTGGCCGCAGAATGCTGGACGGGTGCGGACTTCCTCGGACGCGTGCGAAGCAAAGTGTCGAGCTGGCCGAGGTTTGCTGAGCAGGTCCGAAGTTTCTCGAGCTGTGCGACAGGATTTCTCGGACGCGTGCGGAGTTCCTCGGTAGCGTGCGAGCTTCCTCGGTCTTCCGGTCATCCGTGAGTGTACCTGTACGAACGGATGAACGAGAAAAAGAAAAGAACACGGGAAATGAAAAATTACCCATTTTTCCTCCTGACATGCTCCCCCACTTGAGCTCGGGACGTCCTCGTCACGTCTTCATGCCCTTATGTGTCTAGTCGTGTTCGGTGTTGAACTCACGGATCATGTCCGCGAATTGCCAAAGGTCTTCCTCCTTTTCCCAACTGTTTTGAGAGTCGGGCAGCCCCTTCCACTTGATGTAGTACTCTCGGTACCTTGCCCCTTGTTTGCTTATTGGTCGGCGGTCAAGAATCATCTCGGCCTCCTTTGTGTATTGGGCCGTGGAAGGAATGGGAGCTCTCTTGGACCTGTTTCTATCAACATCCGAAGGATCAGCTTTATAAGGCTTTAGAAGACTTACGTGGAACACGGGGTGAATTTTGATCCGCTCCGGAAGTTGTAGCTTGTAGGCCATCTTTCCGATCTTCTCAATGATCGGATATGGTCCATCGAACTTGCGGGTCAAGCCTCGGTGAAGAGTCCGCATCTTGAGGAAATGGTGTGGGATGATCTTCACCATGACTTGGTCTCCTACATTGTACTCCATTGGTCTCCTCTTCTTGTCCGCGAACTTCTTCATCCTTGCAGCCGCTTTGTGCAACCAAATCCAAGTTTGGTCGGTTTCTTCTTGCCATTCCCTTGCAAAGGTGTGGGCTGCTGGACTAGGACCATCATAGGTGAGGGATAGACCGCTGGGTGTGGTCGGTTGGCGTCCCATCACAATCTCGAAGGGAGATTTGCCGGTTGACTCGCTCTTGTGGAGGTTGTGCGAGAATTGCGCCATGCTCAA